GTACGCGAACCCATACAGCGCGGCCACGGCGAGCAGGCTGCGCGCGGCAGCATACACGGCGGCCGGCAGACTGGTGCAGGCCGTGCCGCCGAACAGGTGGATGTCGAACTGCTCCAGCAGGTACATGGCGAAGGTGTCCACCTGGGGGAGGAGACCGGCAGTGTGCAGCAGCGGCAGCAGCAGCAGCAGGTAGCGCAGCAGCTGCAGAGCCGTCTCCAGTATCGGCGCGGCAGTCAGTCGCAGGCCGTACAGCCGCAGCCCGGCGGTGTCGGACTGAGCTCCTCCGCCGTCTGCGCGCCACCGGAGCAGCAGCAGAGTGAGACCGGTGAGCAGGCAGAAGTACAGCGGCCGACCGAACGCCACCAGACGGTTCTGGCCGTGCGTCGGCGACGCCGCGTCCGGCTGCACGCTCTTCACCAGCGAGTACAGGCTGGATGCCACGGCGAAGCTGAAGAAGAAGACGCCCAGGTCGTCGTAGAAGTCTGTGTGGAGGAGCGCGGCGGCGAGTAGGGACGTCAGCAGCGCCAACAGCACCGACAGCAGGTTCTCCAACCGGGTGACGTTGCGGTCGAGTAATGCCAACAGCGCCAGACGATCGAACCGCACCTTGAGCCAGACGGCGCCGCCCACCTGGGGACACGGAATGGCGAACGCGCACTCAGAAACCGGAGGGCAGCGGACTGACAGAAAAATAGGCGCGATATTCCAGCGAACCCACACTTGATAAAATAGTGTGAATAAAAAATTAGGGTCGTAGCTGTAGGCTGCCACAAAAGACACCAGAGGACAGCTGAAAGGAAGCAAGCGATTTGATAGCTCAAGTGAGCAGTACAAAAGGTTAACAGGATGTGAATGTGAAAACAGATTAATTTTTCCCAATGACATATAATATGTGAAAACAATGAGCAGTGGCGGCCACACCCCAGTTGTCTAGGCTAAGTGACAAGGCGGAGGAAGGAGAGATGAAGCCACACTCACGTGTAGCCGGTAGTGGTGTTTGGGCGGCAGCGGCGGACTGGACGGCGCCGCCGTGTCCAGGCCCAGGCTGGAGTGCAGGTAGTGCAGCAGCGGGCCGCCCGGGTCGCCGCCGTCGCCCGCCGGACCGCAGTCGAGGGCCGCGCCGGCCGCTCCGCCGGCAGCCGCCGCCGCCAGTTTCAGTCCGGCCGAGTCGAGCAGCGCCGAGTGGACGGACCAGTCGCTGTCCGCGGCCACCGGGCTGGCCGCCGCCGCCGCCACGCCCACGCCCCTGCCGTCGAACGTGTAGGCCAGCCAGTGGCCGAACTCGTCCTGGGGAGGAATGGAGAGACAGGGAGTTAGAGGAAGGGGGGACGCACCGACAGAACTCGTTGTGAGTGGTCGGCAGGGGAGACAGGGAGTCGGGAGCAGTGGAGAGGCGCGTGGCAGCCCCCTTCTAAAATGAATACTAGCCACAAAGCCCAATACAATTAACGGCTTGTTAATGCCAGTCATGTATCTTGTGCCCAATTAATCCTTTGAGGCCTTGACTGGCAGGCTAAATATGTGGCCAGGCATTTATAACCTAGCCTACCAACATGCACTCGTCTCACCTTGTCAGGAGATTCCGTCGACAGTAAGCGGAGCAAAGGAAAGGGAATGAACGGGAGGACGGATCCATAGCGGTACAGCCGGCGCCCCACGCTGGCACACGGAGACCGAACGAAGGACTGAGGACAGGACGGCACGGTACTGGCAGCAGCCTGCCAGTCAGGAAAGGAGCCGCCCATCACACTGATCAACACGATATCTAGACATTTCAGCGTTTTTCAATACAAAGCGAAGAAGGTAAAGTTCGACATACAGCACGCCTGAACAGTTTAAAACACCATTCAATACACCAGCCACCACTAAAAATGTCCTAGCTAGCGAAGGCTGAAGCACCGAGCGAAGATTCGTTAGTGGAGATGGTGCAGTTTCTCATCACATCAGCGGCCAACTGGCCCCTAACAACCCATCCTACCCAGCCCTGTCCTGCCGCAACACAGCCAGTCCTACCACTCGCCACACCCACCTGAAAGTAATGCACGGCCCCCTCTGTGGTATCGTCATGCGAGGTGGCCAGGTGGGTGCCGCCGGCGGCCGCCGAGAGCATGACGCTGCTCTGAGCCGGCAGCATGTCGTCGGTACCGGCGGGCCGTCGGCGGCGACACATCCGACGGGGGCTCGACGAGCGGCGCTGCCGGCTCCCCGACGAGCCTAAAGGCGGGGAGCGAAGGGTGTCAGGGCGAAATAGAGTACAGAGATGAAACAGCAACGGCGGTGATGTAGCTACTTGCGATAACGGGGAAACCGACACACCCAAAGTTATCAGGGCGGATATTCAAAATCAGATACGACGTGACAGACGGTACATTAATTCAGCCTCCGTTATGACAAATGACAGAAAAAGCACGTCGGGATCCCAAAACAGGAACGAAATATGGTAGAAATATAGCTCAATGTTTTACCCTGATCAGTTTGAATAACTGTGTTCACCTATGCTTTGACCGCCCGGCGTTCTAAGTGGACTAAATATTGCCGACCTCAGTCACCCACCTCTGAGGCCGTCCCGCGACCTGGCGCCGTGGTGTCCCCCGTGGCGCCTCTCCCGACCCGAGTCCGAGCGGCCAGCCTCTGAGGAAACACACAGCGAGACACACAGGGGTGACGTCACACACGCACAGATGACATCACACAGGGTTAACGTCACAGCTGCACCCGACCAGAGTCCGAGCGGCCAGCCTCTGAGGAAACACACAGCGAGACACAGGGGTGACGTCACACACGCACAGATGACATCACACAGGGTTGACGTCACACCCACTCCCGACCCGAGTCCGAGCGGCCCGGCTCTGAGGAAACACACGGAGAGACACAGGGGTGACGTCACACACGCACAGATGACATCACACAGGGTTGACGTCACAACCACACCCGACCGGAGTCCGAGCGGCCAGCCTCTGAGGAAACATAAAAATACACGGGGGTGACATCATACACGCATAGACCACCTCACACAGGGAGTGGGGTCGTCTGTCGACCAAAGGCCGACCGGCCGGATTCTGAACACAGATACATTACAGGAGTGACGTCACACACTACCCAGGAAACTGCCGCTTACGATAACGGTATCAGTATCACACGGGGTATCACCCTGAAACAACATTAGGAAACCGACAAAGAAGTATGTTCATCAACAAGCTTCCGGTACTAGTAGTATCTCAAAGCCTCCCGTGTTTAGAATCAGCACCATTAGTTGAAATGAGGCCCGCTAGGCAGGTGTGTGCATTTGATAACAGACACATGTTCTACTGCCGGTTATTTCGGACCATACATGTAGCCGCTATAACTGTGTGCGGGTGACTTACCAGCGTACGCACGTGACCGATGGGACCTGTCCTTGGGCACGGCTCCCTGTTCCGCGGTCGACATAACCGGACCGTCCGATTCCCGCTCGTCTGTCGGTCAGGTCAGGTCAGAGGTCATAGGTCAGACAGAGGTCGGCAGCTGCCAGCTCATCTAGCTGGCTGTAAGACACCACGGTACCATCCCGATTGATCTTTCATTCAATGGAGACAGTCTCTACACTTCGAGAAAACCTAGTTTACTAGGTTTCTCACTAGGTTTCTCACTAACTAGGTTTCTCACTAGTAAACCTAGTTAGTTTCCATAGGACCACATTGAAACTAGTCTGCATTCCACAGGCCGAATGCAATATTCTTTCACGGCATCTCTTTATTACTGTTATCCTTGTAGTTTTCCAACGCAACATCAACAAATGCCAACCATCCAAATAACCAAAATTATCGAGCATAGTCTCAATTCCCGTGTAGCACCACTCATTCTCGTCCCCGTCCATCCACTCACCGCAGAAGAGCCGATCCACTCCGGTGAGGCTGTGCAGACTGACGTCATCCTCCTCCGGCTCGGCCCGGCTGGGACTCCGGGAGGCGGCGGCTCCGGCTCCGGCTCCGGCGGCGGAGCGGGCCCACTCACCCCCGTCACACTGGTCTCCGAGCAGCGGCGAGTCGCTGCCGCGCGCCTCGTCCTCGCTGCCGCTCTGGTCTGCCTCGGCGGCCTCCGAGCGGCCCTGCGGCAGCACCTGACGACGCAGACGGAAACGGTTAGATACTGACGAAAACGGGCGGTTAGTTATAGACAGACACGTGATATTATTCAGAGAATAAAAGAAGCGGCACAGAGTATAATTTGTCCAAGGTCCGTCAAACTCACCAAAGGTTCACGTTACAAATACGAGTACAAGCAAACCATAGAGCCCCGTCCACGGTCACTATGTTTTCAAGTAGTTTTCAACTAAACATATTTCTGCCTTTGACCAGTGGGTCGGTGACACGGCGGGGAAGCCAGCCTCCTGCACTGCACTAACCTCAGTCTGCGGGTATCGCGCCGGCGGCTGCGGCGGCGGCAGCGAGAATCCGGGCCCGGGTCGCGAGTGTCGCAGCTCGACCAGCGAGTGGCCGAGGGCCAGCTGGTCGGCCTGGCGCGCCGCTGTGGTGTCTGACACGGACAGGGTGCGGCGGAAATACCCCGACGGCATCGTGTTTTGGACTGGGAACACGGGGAGATGGACGTTAGGGCGGACATACCGACACACAGAGACAGACAGACACGGGGAAGGGCGGGTAGGGCTGTCGCAACGGTCAAAGCTGGGTAGTGGCTCGAATATCCAATGACTCGTGAATTATGGGCAACAATTAGCACTTCCATATTCTCATGGCAATGACTTTATTTTTATCGGTCACTTCAAGAGGTACTGTCCTATCGTCTCCTACCAATCATTTCGCCGATCGTTTGTGAACATACAGTTTCGCTGACAAATGGCAAACCTATGGACAAGCCGCAATGATTGGGATATGCTCACTTCAGAATACTACTCAGCTGCGTATCTCTTTCATTCCCACGTCAATTGAAAATGACTCATCTCTCGGACATCCTGCCCCAAAGATCTCCGATACCCCCGATAGCTCCTCGATGACGACCAGCTACCCAATTCCTGATAGTAGCGCATAGCTGAATCATGGTTCACGCAACATCCGATGACTCATCTCACTTTCATTGATAATAGTTAATCCACCGTCTCTGAATCATACCCCCCGCCGTGCGTACAGGCAGGGGTGGAGAAATCCGCAGCCGCCCTGGCGGTGACCTTGACCTCCGCCGTCTAGTGCGGCTCCAAAGCTAAGCCGGCGCAGCCGGCGTTGAATTGGGAAGACTCGTGCTACCCCAACTCGGCACAATTGTCCACCCCTGCGTACAGGAGGGGGGGGGGGGTGTCTCACCTCGCTCGCGCACGGCTGAGAGTAGCGCCGGCAGGTCGAAGATGCCCGACTCTCGGATATGCTCCACCTCTGAGGGAGTCACCAGGCCGAGAGACAGGCTGGAAGGCATGTGGTCACCGCCGGACGTCTGTGAACGGATTTAAGGGCGAATATGACCCTCCCAATTCCTTCCTATGGCCTTCCAGTACGTTGGTATGATTTCCGACTCACTGACAGTGATGACATAGTCTTTGACTCGAGCTATCCTCGGCTTGCACTTGTCAGTCCCGTAGCTCAGTTGGCAGAGCGCTGGATTTCCGGGGGTGAGAGCTCGGGTTCGAGTCCCTCGGGTGCTCGATATATGGAGATTCTGCGGTTTGTGGGAATGGCCGCAAGCAGTAAAAGTCGTCGAGTAGAACAAACCGTCCGCCGCTCTTTGGGCACGTTAAACTTTGGCATCTAAATATTCCAATAGCCCGGACCGCCCCGGATGGGCTGTAAAATATCTCAGGCTCTGACGGTCTCACCTGGTCAGACAGCCGGGCCAGGTTGGTGTGGTCCTGCTCCAGCTTGTCCTCAGGAAGCTCAGAGATGAGATCAATCGGGTGGTCTGCAAACGGCGCGCGTACAATACATCACTCATGACACCTCTTCAATAAATAGTTGGCCTGGAGCACCACAGCTCGGATCGTTATCGCACATGGTGACGTGATCCCCATATATTCAATCGGCGGAGAGCGATCGATGACGAATGAAACCACACAATGCAAAAAATGAAGCCCTACATGTTCGGTTAAGCTAAGTACCTTTTATATCTGCGACAAGCTGCTGCGCTCACCGTGGTCCGTATACGAGTGGATTTTACACATACCCACACTACAAAGCAGGGCTGCGGAGTCGGAGTCGGAGTCGGAGTCGGAGTCGGTCGGAATCGACAGTTGTGACCGGAGTCGGAGTCAGAGTCGATTTTAGAAACCCGAGCCGGAGTCGGAGTCGGAGTCACCGAAAATCTGTCGACTCCGCAGCCCTGCTAGGTCTGCGGAGTCGGAGTCGGGAGTTGGAGTCGGTCGGAGTCGACAATTCTGCCCGGAGTCGGAGTCGGAGTCGGAGCTGGTTTTTGAAAGCCGGAGTCGGAGTCGGAGTCGGAGTCGCCGAAAATCCATCGACTCCGCAGCCCTGCTACAAAGACCAGCAGACGGGAAAGTGGCGAGTTACAGGGTAAATCGCCCTGTGATACCAGCTCGTACCTCGAGGGACACTGTCTCGTACCTGTGATACTGGTCGGCGAACGGAGCCGGTGCTGTATCCGCTGGCTGGCAGACACTTCCCGCGGCACGGAGAGACCGCCCTCCATCTGGTGCACGTCGGCGTGCAGATCTGGACGTGACAGGGACATACAGTCAGAAACGCGTCCAGATGCGACGAAAGAGACAGACACACGGGAACACGTTAGGAAGCAAGCAGGCCTTATAGCACAGACACATGGGCAAGCACACAACGAAACACGCGGAAAACATGGACAAGAGGAGTTACACGCCTGCCAATATAATCAATCATGAGTATATTGGCAGAGAAGAGGCTTCATTAAAATGTCTCCCTCTCTCTCTCCTCTCCTGTCTTTCTCTCAACCATCATTTCCTCCCCCATTCCTCTCCTTCGCTCGCTCTCCCTCTTCTCACCGATGGTCTCCGCGCCGTACGTCTGGCTGACTGTGGCCGGGTGCGGCCGGCGACTGGTGGGCGACTGTGCCGCGCCCAGCTCGTGCGCAGAGTTCCGTGAGCTGCAGTCCACGGGAGGAGTGTCGGCCGTCGGTCCCGAACGGGCGCCCTCCAGCACGGAGAGCTCAATACTGTCCGCGGCGCCGCTGGAGGCGCACCGGGCCAGAACGGAGGTCATACGAGGGATACAAATCACGAGGTCAATAACGTAAGTTGAGGCCACTAAAAAAGGAGGGATACAAATTACAAAGAATACAATGCAGGGAGCATCAGTGATATGGAGTGGGTGTTGGTGGCTGGGAACCCGATTTAGATGGGTGGGTCTATCTTTATCTACCCATGATTTTTGTTTATCATTTTTCAGGGTTATTTTTCTCCATTACCTAAAAGTTATGATTATTTGCACCAGACTGCATATGTTTCACACATGTCCATGCATTATCCATAAAGAGATGAGCTAGCCACATTTTAAGTGCAACTATTGCATTATCTATTGCATAGTTCATTTACATATGCTAATATAGTACATAAGCTTGTATTTAGCAATGATAAGTCAGATGCACATGCAAGATAACTATCATTTTTTCTGTTCCCATTATTGCCCACCTTGCTTTTTCTTTGTCAGTGGATGGTTCAGGCTCTCCCTTTTCTTCAACATACTCTGATGTGTCATACATTTTGTGCAGCTGGTAGTTGATGAACTTGATGACACTGAATATAATGAAGACACAGGTACAATAGATGGCCCAGATTGTTGTGGATCTTGATGAATACTGAAAAACATTACATTGCTGGTTCAGGGAAATTTGACAGCATGGTAAGGTACTGTTTTCCCGTGGAAATATTATTCACTTTTCGTGGCATCATCTATTTAGGATTGTACTCTCTATTAGTGAGTGCATTAATCCAATAGGTAACCAGCTTGTAAGCAGTACAGCAGATAGAATCAAAGTGACCATTTTATGATCAGACACTGTATGTAAATTTATAACATTGCAGACCTGAAAAGTAAGGATGTCATTCTTAAATATAGCATAGTGTTGGTATCACCAACAAATTTCCACAAAATAGTTAAGAGGTCATTTTCTAACTATTAACACCAAAAATTGATCTTCATGAATTTGATCATTACTTCCCCTCCTTCCTTAAGAAAAGAATAGCATTATACATTGCACACACATACAATGTAATGGCTAGCCTGAAATAGCCATCTAGGTACTAAATAAACTACCTAATTAGTATTGAAATAAAATATATGTAACTGCTGTAACAATCTGCAAAAGCATGATAACAAATAAAGGTGCATGAACTTACCATTGTAATAAGAAATGGTGCACATAGTAACAAAATCCAAAAGTAGAGCTGAATTGTGTTAATAATAACATTTTGATGCGGATCATAGAACCACCCTCCAGTGACTGACGTCCACAACACATGTCTGAAGATTTCAATACTTTGGGATGTCATGTCTTGCTGTAGCTTCTTACTTCAAGTAAAATACAAGCCCACTTCTTGTCTTATTAGCTGTCTAGTAATAAATCCAAGCATGGCTCAACATGAGAGTAGGTAGTTTCGGTAAGTACCAGGCCACGGGTTCCAGGTAGGTACCTACTCAACTGTTGACCGCATTTTTATTGCAGTGCTATCTTCACCACTAATGTGCATGTCATGCAGAAAATCCAACAAGCATGGCATCCATAAGCTCGATCAAAATGATCTATTGGAATCGAATGAAAAAGTAGGCACACTTCAACTTCTCTTTATCCTTGCTGATACTTCAACTTGCTCAATGCAAGTTCAGCAGTTTCCCTGTACACTCAGCAATGTAAAAACAAAATCAACCATTTAGCACTTCTAATGCATTGACAATCCGGTCATCCCTCCGGAAATACGCAAAAACAAATGGCATTTATTGAGATATTCGATGATATTAGCAACACGACGATTGTCTGCGTCAGATTCGTTCCAACTTCCTTATGACGAACAGCTGATCGGAGTGCAATAGTCACGTGACCAAAACACAGGCGCGGATTCTGAGGATTTAGTAGAGAGCATCTAGGATATTGGTGCTTTTTGATGCGGTAATTTCAGGAAACTCTGCACATAATAACACAATGATGATTCCAAAAAATGGAAGAGCAATCATAAGGGATCTATCTCACAATTTTTTTGCTTGAAACACCACAGCTATTGATCCACTAAATTTGTTCCTGTTTATACTACTAGAAATCATTCTAGCTAAAATGCCTCGCCAGTGTAATTCGACATTTTTTATTGTAAAAAAATATTATGCATTTAGCAATTGATTCAATATGTTAGCAGCAATCAATTTTAAATGAATTGAGCTTAAACTTATATTTTTCATTTGAAGTGCATACTACAGTATTCTATCTATTTTATACTAAATCACCATCCTTGTGGGTAACTGATTTGTTGCAGGCTTATGGATGTCGTCTTCGAAAGACAGGGAGGTGGTGGCTCTCTCTATCGCCTGGATAAAAATAGGCCCCGCCCATCCCAATCAGCTGCTGCATGACGAGTTGATGACGACAACCACTACTTACCAGCAACCAATCTAGGGATAGCGTACGTGACAGTAATGGTGCAGCGGTTGCAAAATATTACATTGTTATCACTGAGCTCATTGTTATTCAAACGGTTTTTGCTTTTAGGGCCTTGTTAGATGAGGATGAGGTTAGATTAGATGAAGTGTTGATGAAGGCAGGTATTTTTTTTTAAATATTTTTTTGACAATTTTTTGCCCTTGTTTTACTTAATAGCTGAACCTGGGACCACCTGAAGTCTAAACCTTATTTTATATAACATGTCAATGCTGATGCTGTCTTGAAATGTGAAATTTAGACAATGGTAATAGGAATAATGCATATCAATTTCACCAACAACATTTTAATCTCTAGGAAGTGCAATTAAAATTAAAATCACTGTCTGCCACACTGCTCCATCCTGGTCATGGTCATGCAACCAACGTTCATGGGTGGTGTTTCACGGCAGAGCACGCAATGCAGTGCTCAGCACTGCAGTGCGCTGCGTGTGTCAGAGCATTGAGTTTCCATGGCAGTGTCAACAAACTTCACTGTGACGCTAAGCTATGACAGCATCCCAGAACGCTAGCATGCTGCGGTACCAGCACCAGCAGCATGCTAGCAGTATTTGAACTCAAACCTCTGTTCTTGGTACGGTTTTTCAGAACCTCTCACTCTGTTCCAAACGCGATTGATCATAAACTAAGAGATCACATGCAACGTCATTTGAGTGATGCTATGGTATGCCGTAGCTACCAGTGCACACAGTGTCTGGATGGTGAAACAGGGCCATTATTAATCACATTTGCTTTGCTTTGTTTCAGCAGAAACCTGTCTGCACATGGGAGGAGCGCAACAAAAGCCCATCAAGTTCATGCATGGCAGTGGATCTCAACAGGAGAAAACCAGAAAGAACATGGATGTTTGTAGATTGCAGTTGTACACTGCTGTTATCACCTGATGTGTGTGGCTGGCATTGCTCCTGGCAAGAACCACCTGCAACTGATGAGATGGTGCCTCAGTCGTTGAGTGTGCTGCAGTGTGAGAGGCGCCCTGATCTCTACTTTGTGATGGGTTTCCATTGGAGGTTCAACTGAGAAGTGAGAACTGACTGTGACCATGCTTGAGCATGCCAGTGGAGCTTTACATGCTTAGGGCAGCTTTTGAACAGATGCTGACCATGGCATGTCCCATCCAGTTATCACGTGCACAGAATGGTGGGGGGAGGGCAACTCTGGGCTCTTGAGTCAGCCCTACTGCACAGGGGGTACAGATGGCCGCTTACGTTTGGTGTGTCCTGCACTGCATTATCAAGCCCAGTCTGCGCCACAGGCAATGGGTCGGGCTGCACTATATTAAAGGCAGACTATCTTGCAAAGGAGGCTGGCATCCTCTCCCATAATGACACACCAATTGGCAATCATCGCTGCGATGATCACGAGGGTGTCTGCTTATCTAACATGGTGAGGTGGAGAGCCAGTTCAAGCTGGCCTGAGGGATGGTTTTACTTCATCTGAGGCCCCCTTTCCCCGCCTGCCAGGCCCGGTCAAACGACCGCTTCACAGTGAACGACTTGCAGTGGATGCCGTCCCACAGCGCAACGAGCGCGCCGACCAGAGGCGGCTGATTGGCCAAGAGGCGGCCGCGCTGGACGGTCCCGGTGGACGTCGGCAACGCCCACCGCGCGACCATCAGATCGGCTCGCGACAGCGCCGTCGCCGACTGACCGCATGACTGGTATCTGTTCTTGATGTGGGACCGACTGCCACCGCCGGTCGCGGAAGGGCATCGCTCATCGGCCATCGACGTCCGCCAGCTTCGCGTGGGTCACTGTTCGGGCTGCCACCAATACACCGAATCGGATGGAACCCTGTCGGCGAATGCCGGCGGTGCCCCGACATCGACTGCGCGGCGGCCAGTGCATCGCGTGCCGGGAGGAGGCTGGCACCCCCGATCGGTCATTGGTCACAAACCGTGTCCCAGCTCATGACTGCATCCAGCGCAGCTCTGTGAGATGTTCTGCAGCTGCTGCAGTCTGCCGCGTGTGTTGAAAGAAGAATGAACATGAGAAAACCTCAAAACTTTATGCCTATTCGTAATTGACCAGTATTGGAATAAGTTTGGATTTTGAGAATTTGTGTCCCTGTGCTTGTGCCTGTGTGGAAAGGCATGCTTTACGGTGTACCATCTCAATGTCAAATCCCGGCTGCGCTGTGCGGATTTGTGCGGCTGCTGACAGGCCACCTGGGTGCCAACGTATGTGCGAATCCGCGAATACGTTGTGTTTCGTCAGTCAGTATCGTTCTGAAAATATTGACTGCAATAGGCTATATAGCGTATGACGGTTCAGCCCAGCAGTAATAACTGACCATTGATTGGGCGATTTTTGGGTGGTGGTTCGCTAATACATAACCTAAAGAGTGTTTTGCCGGAATCGTTTAGTAGCAGAACTGACCGGAATATAAGTAGAATGCAACGGTTTGACTAATCGTTAATTTGTTGAAACGATTGCTCTCTGAGACCACTGTGTAACTTTTGACCTGAGAATCACCAATTATAACGACAATGGGGAAGCAGTAGGCTGTACTGTAGAGTGTAGGCAACACTATATAGTTGGCACACTTACGGAAGCACACGACTTACGCAGTGGACATCTGCATCATGCATGTTAAGGTTTACTGGGAAGAGTGAGAAATTAGTCAGAATATAACTGACTAAGGAAAATAGGCGACATTTCCTATTGAGCTGGGGCGGAGAGGGGGAGGGGGCGTGTGGTCAGCTATGCCAATAATTCATTCTCTTTATGCAGCTGTGTAAAAGGGCGTCCGTTTTTGGGTGAGACCTTCCCCATCGGCCATTTCCAAGTTAAATCGTGGTGGAGAGTCTGGAGACCTCAGCCTCGGTAGTCGGTACCCTACGCGCTGCGCCACCTTGCGAAACATAAAGCAGCAGTCCTGACATCTACAGGCGTGACTTTTCATGAAAGCGCGGATGTGTTCGCGCTTATGCGAAGAAAATTCTTCCGAGTATGGTTGATAATGAGATTAATTGTTGTCATTTATTTATTAATTCATTGGCAAAAGTACCCTAATAAATCGGTAAAATAGCTTGAACTGTATCGTATTTCCTTGGGAAAAAATGACGAACTCATCCTAAGACATCCAGATTATTGGATGCGTTCGTCAGTTGTAAGTAGTTCAAGTTTTTGGGAAAATTTGCTTGTGGAAAATCATAATATTTCAAAGATATGCCTATTTTCGAATAATTTATGCATTTATCTGCATTGAAAAATGATTGTAAAGCAAAAGTGCAAAAGATTATTGTCAACTTATTTTCTCAAATCACGATTTACGAACGCACAAAACTCCAGCTTTTAATTTAGTGCGTGTGCGAATTGCGGTCAAGAAAAAATATTTAAACTGTCTATGTTCCTCTTAAAACAATGAAGGATGAATGAGGAAAACGCTGTTTTGAACAATTGTATATTTATTTTTTCTTAATTAAGCAAAAGTACAAAATTTTCAACTATTATTACATTTGCTCTCACAAAACCCATCACTTTTTAGCATGACGTCATGTCAGCCAAATTTACTAGCGCCATCTCTGGAGAGCATCTTTCGAAACCTCCAGACGATAGAGAGAGCCGAGGTGGTGGCCGCAGATGTGCCGATATTCAGGTATTGTGGGGAAATCGATGCTTTTTATTGAATAAATTGCATTGTTATATAATGTTTAGCATGTAAAATATGTATGAACATAGATGGAGCTTTGGAAATATGTGTGCGGACTGTGCATTAACAATGTTATTGTCGTGGGAGTGCGGCGCGATTGGCGAGATTGATGTCGTGATTATTTATGCCATTTAAATTATAGAATTTCCACTACCTCTTGATACAAACATTATTAAACTTGTTTTATATCACTGTGGTTATTGTTTGATGCATTGAGGTATGTTGTGGGCTCTTGTTCTTTGCCGAAGGCAGCTGTAAATTAAAACATCGCAACTCAACAACCTGTGCAACTATTTAATTTTTATGTTAATTTGTGTTTGTTTTATGCTTTGATACGATTTTGTAGCTTCTAGATTAACCACATCAATGTGTTCAAGTGCATTTCAATGATATTTTTACAAGTTAATTTCGGTTCAGTCTCTTGTGTGCTTTCGAGGATGCTGCATGATCAGTGATCACGTACCTTTTGTGCAGGCAATTTTTCCTGATATTTCCATATTTGCGGCAGGCTTCTGGCAGTGAAAGAACATGAAAATTTCATGATGAAATTATGTACTGTTATTAATCAATAACTGAAACTGAACAGTGTCATCTGTCATATAAGTAGGTAGCTATATTCTGTAACATGACTGAGTTGGCTTACCTGCTTAATTTTGAAAGCCAATCATGAAAACATTGACCCATTTTTATTTAAGGCTCTTGCTTATTACAGGCAGGTACATTAACCCGGCAGTTGCTGGGGTATTTCGCCACCCACCGTTTGCTGGGGGGGGGGCGTTAAACGCCCCCAGCCGATAACTCGAGAACCAATAGGCGCAGCGAAACGCACGAGGCGGCAAACGAAAGAGCGCGACGAGACGCTTCAGATGAGTACTTTAAAGTTGAATTTTGAGGTCACAGGTCGGGTCAAGGTCAGGTCAAACACCTGAAATCGGGCTTTCAGTAGCATGGACTTCAGGACTTTGCAATGGGCGCCTCTCGTCATAAACTCTGTTCAAACGGTGCACAATCCATCATATAAGGCCTACAAGAGTGTCAGCTCCATGTAGGGGCCAGTCAAGCATAGGTCAGGGTCAAGGTCAGGTCAACCGGGTAGGCACATATCGCCGAAAATCAAAACTGATATTCGCAGCCTGTGACACATGTTTTATAGGTAATTTGGGGCGTAGAACACGATGGTGACATTCATTTTATCATATGTGTACGTGTTTGGCTCAAAAAGCTCAATTTAAGAAATGCATGTATCATGGTCGTGAAGTAGTCACGAAAAATTGCCAAGATTCAGTTCAAGAGTATGGAAAATTCGGAACGATAATCAATAATCGAAGATAGCCATTTGATTGATCATGGTATTGGCAATCTAATGGCGTTTACGGCATGTCTGTATGTCTATTCTGTGATTTTATATGATTTTTTTAAGATATGCCGTTTTTGGTCGAAAACTCAGAAATCATGACGTCACTAAAACCTCGATATCTCAAAAATTTTCCGACCGATTTTTTTGAAACTTTGTCACAATAAACTTCAATCAATTGCCTACAGGTACCCAAAATTTGGCGCGCCTGCGGCGCGCCGTTTTTATGCTATGGCCCGGCGAAAAAAGTGGGGGCGTTTAACGCCCCCCCCCCAGCAACTCGCGGGTTAATGTTTTTGTCCTACTTATTCTTCAGAAGCACCTGAAGTGAGGTGCTCTAAAAATATAAAAAGTGTTTGTAAAGCTTTAGGTGATTTAATTAACCACACTTTATTGCTTGTAATTGTTGTTAGTGCTTAAAATGCATCTTATCTAAGCATTCTTTTGTCTACTCTTTTATGCATGCAGTTTTTTAGCGATGCCATCCTTGTCCTTATGTCAAAGTCATCTATTTAGTCTCATGATATGCCAATTTGAGTTAAAAGTTATTTGATTTTTTGTCATGTTATTTTCTTGCAGTGATGTTATTTCCTCATTGCTCCAGTTACATGTTATAAAACTGGCACACTTGTTTTATGTAAGTGAATCCCATTTCATAAACAGGATGTAAGCACATTTTTGCTCTAATTTTAGGAACACCTTTTCTGATTTTGGTAGAGGTCATGTTAGTCTCATGGAAATCTTCTGGGCATTCATCTTTGCTGCTTTTTCATGAATGCTAAATAACTACCAAAGGCAACAAGCAAGTGATCCCTGTGGACAAATTGGTGTTTTTGGTGCCTATGGTCTCTTATTTGTTTGCTGAATGTTCTTCTACTGCAGCTTCATTTTGTTTTTAATATGCTCTTGATGATTTGTATCACATGTTGTGGTTTGAGTCAGTTGGGTTTATGATACCCTGACTTCTAGTACAAACTTCAAATCAAACACTAGAAAAGCACCAGCAGACTACAAATCAACATCAATCAAAATTGTGTTTGGTTACATCCTTTTCAATTGCATTATTTTTTACATTACAATAAATAAAGTAGAGTTATAGGTGTGTTTGCTTGTTTTTGTTTTTGACTATTGTTATCTCACTGATGTATCTTTCATTCCTTTCAGGGTGCTCATTCTTCCCTGACAAAACATTCTGGTGATCAGTTCCCTGGATGGAGTCCAGCACTGCCATAATAATCTCAGTGCAGGTATGGGCTTCAACATTCTTATTCATGCCAGAGTTGTTCCTTGACTTATTTACTTTTAACTAGTAATGCCAAAGGTATCATCAACATTACATGCTAGTCAGCTTACTAACAATAGACAACTTCAGCATGTTTGCCAAATTTTGTGAGTTCGCTTAAGTGGATTTGAACTTTGCACTGCATCACAAGCATAGGGCCCTAAGGATTGCTGCCTGCTGTTGGTCTCAGTATCACAGCACACCACCATGCCTCTGTACGAGTGCCTCATTACCATAGCACCTCAGCTCACGGCTCTGTGTTCCCGTCAGGTGCGAGTGTGTCGGCAGCAGCCGTGATCGGGCCGGCGCTCGGCGGCTGTGAACCGCTCGGCCCGGCCGCCGCCTATGGAGCCGGCCGGCGGCGCGGCGGCGGCCGCAGCGCGCGCTAACGGCTGCGGGCCCGGCGCCCGCGGCGGCCGCTCACCCACACCGTCGCCAGAGGGCGTGCGCCTGCTCGTGCTGCACGACTACGAGGGTCGCAGCGAGGATGAACTCAGCCTCCGCAGGGGTCTCAGTGTCGAGCTGCTCTCCACCGATTCGAAAATCTCTGGAGACCCCGACTGGTGGATCGGAAAGCTGGAGGGCAGGGTGAGTGACGCGGGAGGGTGGTGGGAAGTCGCTGGTGGCGGGCCGCTCACGGCAGTCAGGTTGAGGCTGCTACACTGAGGAATAGTGGGAGGCGAGGGGAGAGTGTAAGGCCGGCCAGCAGCGGGCTCGTCAGTTTAAATCAACGTTTTTACATGGACGTTACCTGCATCAACTGTTCCGGAGACAAATAAACGTAATTGGACTGCAATTTTGCTGGAAACAAATACGACTCTTAACCCATTAGTGCCCAACTTATTTTTAGTCAAAATTTCAAACTTTTTTGCACAAAATACTAGCTTCTTTATCGAATGTATTAGCTTAGGATGATTTTCTTGTTTTTTAAGCCCCCCAATTTGTCGCCAGGGGGGTCAATAAATATATGGCTATGGGCACCTGGGTAGTCGAAATGTTGCCACAAAGCGCAATTCAAACGAAACTTTTGAGAACCAATGTATATTCTTAGATGTGTATGCTGATAGGCACTTGCCACTACCAACATGTGAACATATTATGAGATCAGGCGAATGATTGTGATGATTGATAGTGTCAGCGGTCAACAATCAATTACGATGATGAGTCAATGCACTACCTGACTCACAAACATCGAAGTGCATTGGACAGTGACACAGCTTACAGCAAACGCTGAAAACAAAACATCCCTCCGGGATCTAGACGGCGCTTGCAAACTTTCACCCATCTCACCGTATCCAACAGTGTTGGCCCAACTAGCCCAAATTTCCCCATGGTGTACAGCATGTTCTTACTCTCAGGTCGCATGGAAGGGCACGAAGCACGCCACGCACAGCGGCACCTGGCACTTGCGACAGGCGGTCTTCGGGTGGCTCTTGCACTTTCCCTCCTTGTTTGCACACGTTCCCTGCTTGGCAAGAGGAACGACCAGGTGGTTGATACCATCGTAGCGGATGCTGGCTGGGACGCGATGCTGATTCGACGCGGAACTTGGACGTCCAGATGGTGGCTTCGTCGTCTCTGCCAGGTGATACCGGACGATGGCTCGGATGAAGTTGATCTGATTCTCGCCTGGATGATGCTGACGGTAGAGCAGCCAGGCGTTCTGCATCGCGGCCCCCAGAAGCCAGCAGAAGATGCACCACCAGAACTTCTTCTGTCGGATCGCGATGCGGTACGCGCCGATGTTCTGGTCCATGCGGTCGGTACCGCCCATGGCGCAGTTGTAGTCCTGAATCATCTGTGGCTGAGCTACCTTGATCCTCTTCTTCTCTCGTCGCGACCATCTTTGAACTTCAGCCACAGTTCGGGACGAGCTTACCGTAGATGCTACGGTCACCACGCTGTTATCCTTCCACCTGACGAGGTTGATGCCCTGCTTCGTTTCCACGGCGACAGAGGTGTCTCCCCTGGGAGCCTTCTTCATCGCTGCCACCGAGCTCAGCGGACATCCTCGGAGGCGGTTCTGGCGGATGGTTCCCGTGTGCCCGATTCCCTCCTCCTTCAGCGCCATCATCAGAGGAAGGCTGGTGAAGAGGTTGTCCGTAAAGATGTGCAGTGCGTCCATGCGCATCTCCTTCGGCATTCTGTCTATGAGGATCTTCACTGCTGATCCACATTTCCCGAAGGCGGCCTCATAGTCTGGACGCTGAGCAGTTCCGCTGGCACCTTGGTACACTTCGAAGGTCAGTAGATACCCATCTGGGCTGTTAAGGCACCACGCCTTGAACCCAAACCGTATGGGCTTCCCTCTCAGGAACTGTTTGCACCCGTGACGGCCATAGTAGGGAATCATGCTCTCATCCACGTCCAGTTCTGTGGAAGATGGCGGTCTCTGAAAAGCTCGCAAGAACTTGTCTTGCATGCTGTTGAAGAGAGGTCGCAGCTTGGCCATCTTGTCACCGGGGTCGAGACGCTGGTTGTCAGCGAAGTGGAGGACCGAAAGGATGTCGTCAAAGCGGTTCCTCGAGATGATCCGGGAGACGAATTCCACGTGCAGGTCAGGGTCTGTCGACCAGAAGGCCCGGCGGTTCGGCACGTTGTGGTATCCCGAGAAGTACAGGATCGCCATGACAGCCTTCAGCTCGGCGATGGAGGGCTCCTGGACATTCTTCCCTCTCCACTGGATATATCGGCGTGTCTCCTGAAGGAGTTGCGCATAGAACTCGTCATCCAAGAAGAAGCTCAGTACTTCAACGGGTGTCTTGTTCGAAAAGTTCACCTGTGGGTATGGGCAAGCTTCCTCTCGCTCCTTCAGAAATGAAGCGACCTCTCGTTTGCCCCACCTGTGGCTGGTTGGGGCGACCGATTCAGCAGCTTCGTCGTCAGAACCGTCCTCTTGGCCGACGAGTTCAGCATCTGCTTGCAGCAGGTTGCGGTTGAGGTTGTCGATGGTACCGCCTCCGTCCTCGTCTCCCGAGTCGGCGTCGCTGTCCTCACGCACGTTAGGAGGACACAGGAAGACAGTGGCCGGACTCTCGCCACTCTCATCAACTTCATCCAGGAGATCAATCAGCTTTCCAAACCTGGAAAATGATAGCGGACTGCAACGCACATTTTCGACCACCCAAATGCCCATGGCCATATATATATTGACCCGCACAGAAGAGCGTCATGCTGCGGCAAATCTTCAACGAGGCTATTTTATTCGTTTCAGGGGTCTTAAGGGCAGTTCAAAGAAACATGTCTGTGAAATTTATTGAATTAGAACAGCTAAATAACTAAATACACTCACCGGCGTTTTTTCGGCATGTTGACGTAGTTTCGCGACTGTCAAGCAGAACAGAGAAAATGGCGCAGCAGCAGCAACCGCACATCAAGTCCTTTAAAAATGCTTATTTATATATGGGGCGTGCATATTTTCATGAAAAACACCCACACTTTTGAGGAAAAAATTCATAAATTTGCGAAATATATATATGGCTATGGGCACTAATGGGTTAAAGGCTCAAAATACTAACGTACGATACAAACGTCTCTGACATCTCAAGCACCTCGATTGACCGCTTAAGTCCTGATTGCCTGGTTCTGCGATTCGGCCATGGTATCAATGTGACAGTTTTACGCTCGATTAAATGTCCCTAGCAGTGACCCCTGATCCTCGACGTGTGTGCATTCCTCTCCTCTCCCCTCCCCCGCGATACGTCCGATTGTATTGGACGACCGATAATGCATTTTCATGACCGGAACATACGTCAAGTCACATGGGGCCCCAAGCCTTGGCGACTGATCTACCATCGGCGAATTGGGGGCCAATAAAACGTACGGCCGTCCGTCGTCGTATCAGCATGGCTGCGGTTCGCGGGTGTCCGGGTCGGGTGAAATCCACCGCTGTTGGGCCGTAAGAGTGTTCACGGGTGTTTTTCGCCGGAGGGGTTGAGCAGACATTCTTGCGTACGGTACGCGACCAGGGCAGGGTAGGATGAGGGGGAGGGGAAGGACACGATACAATAGAGAAGAGACTGATAAAAGATAATTCAGCGCAATGGACACTCATGGTCGGAATGTCATACTGGCAGTCAGCTCATGCCAGCACGGTCGTACGTACATGCAAATGATCTTCGCTCAGCATTACATCGTGTATGGATTGTGCTACTCTCGCTTATCCTTGCATTCCTCCGCATATTCCAAGTGGTTGAAGTCATTTCTGGATGCGACCGCCTGTATTTCGTTGATCTCATGCCGCCATTTCCCTAGGCCGGCCTCGTATGGGCTGCCGTGTGGGCGTTGATTGGCCGGTCGGTCGAGTCTGGCTGTCTACGTTTGTCTGTCTGTCTGTCTGTCCGTCTGTGGTTTTCTCTCCGTTTGTGCGTGGTCGTAACTCGTGAGGAACGTTGTGACTTGAACTCGGCTGCTAGGTATGATTATTCGGCAAATACGAGTAGATTCGACACACTACCGTCCGTTTTATTTGTGTATTCTGGTGAAAGGTCGATGATCCACAATGCGCACTTTGTTAGCCGTAATCCACTCGGAAGCGCCGTGTTATTGCCTCGTAGAAATTCGTCCTTTTATCAGCTATCGTCAGGACGGTGTTTGTGTACCAGCTACTTGACCGTGGCAGCTGATTGCTGAATAGTTGTTCAAACATTGCCTCTGCATAATATCGTCACATGCAACGTCAGAGCGGGGTGGGGGAGGGGGGTTGATAGTCGCATTCACAGCTGGGAGGTGGCAGAAAGGCCGCCGTCAGCGTGTGCACTGTAGAGCTACTGTAATGGAACACCGCTGCCGAATGCTAAAAAATCGGTGTCACGCTATGGATTAGGTATATTACTGTACTATCGAGTCGACTCGGTTGAGCTTCGGCAATGTAAGATTTGACTTTTAACGTCCCCTTTGCGCGCTTTTTACGTGCAGTAAGCTGTAGCTGTTGCCAAATTCATCGATGGCTTGCCGCCATGCGTTTTGATCTTTTCTTCTCCCTCGACTTCCACTAACCACACGACATCAGAACATAGGTTCGACCAGTCGGGTCCCTTTGACCAGAAATCTCCGCGTGTGTCTCCATGAACCGGCACCATTCACTCTTGCGGTGTATCCTGTGACCTGCAATTGGGACGGCTAGTTGGTCTGCGCCCTGTAGCCTTACCCCTCCAAGGTTGAGATGACCCTTCCATGACCGTACCTCTGCGACCCATGACCTATGCTGACCCCTATCTCTACGCCCTGTGACCTGTTGCTGACTTCTCGTTCGATCTGTGACCTTGGCTGACCCATTCCGGTTCGACTTCTGACCTTGACTGACCTCTCAGGTGGGCGTGTTCCCGGCTCACTATGTGGCTCCCGTGGACGACGCGCTGCAGCCACACAGCACCTATCCGCCAGTCATCGAGTTCGCAGACATCCAGCTGGACGAAATCATCGGCGTCGGGGGCTTCGGCAAGGTGGGTGCAGATGTGGAGCTGTGGGGACTGTGTGGAGTATGGAATGTGCGCTGTGGGATATGAGCTGTGGCATGTGGAGGATGGCTTTAGGAGTGTGAATTGTGGAGTGTGGACGCGGGAATCGAGACGCGGGTGCCTGTGTGGACTGTCACTGTGGACTGTAGACTGAACACTGTGGGGGGTGTACTGTGGCTTGTGGACTGGGGACGCCTGGGACTCGGCTCGGGGACGGGCATATCTGGTGAGGGTGTGGAGAATGGCCGTTGCGTCGGCGACCTCGGGAAGATGGGTGTTGACTCTGACACACGGATGGGTGTTGACTCTGACACACGGATGGGTGTTGACTCTGACACACGGATGGGTGTGGTGCAGTGCTGGAAATGAGGCCGCTTTCTGGTCCCGGCGTTTTATTCTCCTCGCGGGTTAATCCCGTCCAGCGTTTAGCCTTTCGGGACCCACTCAGGGTCGCGGTTGTTTTCGCCGCTCGCCCCAGTCGAGATGCAAAGTTGATAGTCACACGAAGCTTATTTAGGGCCAGCCAAAGCAGTCTAGTCTGGAGTTACTGTTAAATGTATGCATATAGATGAAATAAAAATGTTTTGTAGAATCGATTAATTTCGAAGTCGTATATTCAGAGGCCCCAAATAAACTTCGTGCGACTATCAACTTTGCATCTCGAATGGGCCGAGCGGCGAAAACAACCGCGGCTCTGAGAGGGACCCGAAAGGCTAAGCGCTAGACGGGGCTAACTCACCCGGAGAATAAAACGCCGGGACCAGAAAGCGGCCTCATTTCCAGCACTGGTGTGGTGCGGACTGGCGAGTCCGCCACACCTCACGGGAGTGGCGGACTCCCGACCGTCTCGCGGGCTGGCCGTCGTTCAGTGCAGTTGATTGGGTGAGGCCGGCGGCAGAGAATACGGATGGGACTCTGAATCGGACTGAGGAAAGTTGTGGGCGATGTTCGGGAGTTTTCCATCATGTTGGTAGCGTCTGAGCTAGCTGTGAACCGTGCAACTGCATCTCTGTCTCCTTTCGCTGTTGTGAAACTATTTTAGTAAATTAATCTCTATCGGTATCCCCCGACAGTGATTGGCTATTACGACTTTTTTGCCATAATGGTTTGGTATAATAATGTTTAAGACCCTACTTCTGTAGCCCTTTTGCGCTCCTCTGCTCCTCTGTCCCTCCCGTGTCAGAGAGGATCCGGGGAGGCCTCAGGAACCATATGCTTTCCCTTGAGGGTACGCTCATCGGCTGATGGACGGGCAACAAACAGATTCCAGGACGCTTAATAAGCAGCTGGGGCCGCCAGTCTGCGCTGAGGGACTCTCAGGCTCCCCTCGGGATCCCCCGGGACTCGTAATCGGCCTACTCTAATCCGCGAAAATTAGCTCATTAACTAAATTAGTGACGGGGCTTGATTAAACGCACACGGAGTGGATGACGCGTGCCGTTCGGCTGTTTGTTGTGTAATATTGTTCGCCACTGGGCAAATGATTGTCTCTCGCTGCGAGAAAGTGATATCATTCGTCGGTGATATCATTCCTCGTTAGTTTGTTTTCGTTTGCGATACACAATGCTGTGAACGTGGCCAATTTCTTGCGGCTATATGAAACGGACATCGGTTGCATGTTGAGCGGCGTTTTTCCTCGGCGATTGCATGAGTTCGTGGAACGAACGAACTCCATTTGCATAGCGCCGCACTCCCAACAGATGGACAGCAACGTTTGATTCTGCTAAATTGAAAACTCTACAAGTGTGAACTATTTTCACTTGCAAATATGACAAGTAAGTGAACTGAAAGTTGATTGAAAAAGTGATGAATTCGCAACTTTAGACTTTATTTATCGCATGTTGATCTTATTTATTTGAATCCCATATAGCAATGCGTCGTGACAAGGGAGGTCCCATTGCTTCACACACGTTACCGATACCCCTTACATCAGCCGCTGGTATGACGCGGCGCTCAGGCCGGCCGGCCAGTGCGTGTGGCGCACGGCGCAGTACCACCGATCGCTGAGTGTATCGGCGTCCGTTTCAGGTGTACCGGGGCGTGCTGCACGATGAGATGGTAGCCGTGAAGGCGGTCACTGATACCACCGGCGTCCGTTTCAGGTGTACCGGGGCGTGCTGCACGATGAGATGGTAGCCGTGAAGGCGGTCACGAGGACCTCCGAGGACGACTGGTCCACCACCATTGAACAGGTGAGGGGCCGCGCTGGACTTGAACTTACTTCCAGCTTGTACAGACATAGAGCACAGATGCTAAAACAATCAGTTCGACTACTCCTTCGATTTGATGTCCTCCTAACGCAAAACACGAATTTATTATGCAGATTAAATGCTTTGAAAGTCTTAAAGGTAGTGTGCCACCTTTGAAAGATTTCCCATTTTATTTTTCCTAGGATAAGAAGCTTCTGTTTTTACCTAATATCGCAAAAAAAAAATCAAAAATGGGCCTGGAATGGTGCCTTTTTCGCCTAAAAGTTTTTCGGTTTTTAGATATGTATAACAACTGTAGTGGGCTCACCTGCAAACAGGCGTCGGGCAACAATCGCGAATGCGGCGCACTTGTGACAATAAGCAAAGGTCATTATAGTGTTACGACCATACGACGTACGGGAATGAGTTATCAGCTGTCTAATCGTAGACAACACAATGTCGAGCCTTAAACTGTAAGCCCGTATTGGTATTGTTTCTTTTATTTGGCTGTCGAACATTATTTATGGTTTGGTTTGTTTATGGTTTGAAATATGATTTTATGTAAAATAATTGATATGAAAAAGCCGTCTTATAAGTTATGACCCCATTTCACCACACGCAAGTGGCAGAAATGACAATGATCAGCTGACGCATTTTTCTTGGCCGAAGTCAGAGCGCGCGGCCCGACGCACCACGCGTATTTGGAAATTCCGACCTCGACGAGCATCAGAAGCCACCTAACAGGCGTGTTCGAAACCGCAGGAGATGATGATGAACGGGTTTATCGAAACTTGATTGGATGAGCATATCGGTGATAGCGATTTCAGTGTGTGCATTTATTGTTCATAGTGGTGTGAAATGTGGTTGGGGTACGACCGACAACCCGTCGGGGCGAATTTCGCACTGGGGTACTCAAAATTTGAAGAATTTAAGACGTTTCCATGAGTTTTGAAGGTATGGATAAGTTCTAAAAATCCGGTTCTCCTTATCTGGGCCATTAACTCCATACGGTCCAGGAAAGCTGGCACACTACCTTTAAGAACAAACATTCAATAGGCACTTGACATGTTCATTGTTGACGTCCTTGTTGAGCGATATCGAGATTTATAATGGCCGCTGTCTGCTGCAATGATACCCGATTTGTGTCCATCCAAACAGCGTATTTCGGTCTGTGCATTGTGATGGTTGACCCCCGTCCCGTCCGCTCTCACAGGTGCGTCAGGAGGGCCGTCTGTTCTGGCTGCTGGACCACCCCAACATCGTCTCGCTGCGCGGCCTGGTACTCACCCCGCCCAACCTGTGCTTGGTGATGGAGTACGCACAGGGCGGGTCGCTCAGCCGCGTCCTCTCACAGCATAAGGTGAGTTGTCTGGAATACGCACGGGGCGGATCGCTCTGTCGCGTCCTCTCACATGAGGTGAATCGGTGGCTTGATGCTCTTCTCAGCTGGTTAGTTGGGGAAGAAAATAAGGGGGTCACTGCTCCTCTCAGTATGTGGGTTAGCGCTCTCAGTATAATGTAGATTTGCTCTAGATTTAGGGGGGTCGGTACCCGGTGCTCCCTTGCCAGAGGTTAGCTGGTGCTCTTCTTAGGATAGGTGAGCCAGGCTTAGATTAAGCGGTCGGTGCTTTCCCCATAAAAGCAAGTCGCTTGTTTGTTTTGTTGGGTTAGGCCCTTTCGGTCCGATGAGACCATTTCAGAGCCGGGAGGATGATAGGATATGGGGGGAGACATTGGTCTGGGCAGGCACCCTAGTGAGTCGCCGGGGCTGAGCCCGTCCAGAGGACAGGCCACCCAGCCCCAAGGACAGGCCACCCAGCCCCACTGCACCCGGCTACGGGGTGCGCTCCCTCGGGAGCACCGGTGCCGTTCCAAGGGAGCAGCCCGCATGGGATAAAGTTGCCTGTCCAGCCCGTGGTGGAGAAGGTTGCGGCGTGGTGGAGAAGGATTTCAGTATCCTGAGGATAGAAGCACGGAACGGTGAAAAAAGCAAGTCGGTGTTTCCCTCTTTTTGGGGTGAGTCAGTCAGCTCCTCTCAATCACGTAATGTGTGGGGTGCACCCCTCAGTTACAAGGTTTGTGCGTGCTTCCCTTCAGTGTAAGGCAGCATAGTCTATTGGGGTCGGTGCTACTCGCGCCATCAGCCACATTCGGACCCCTCACACCCTGGGTGATCCTGTCAGGCGCCCGCGTGGTCTAGAGGATCTCTCAGCTCGGCAGTGTTGTTTACTCGCCTGCTGGTCGGCTCTGATCAGTCAGCTAATCCCTAAACTAAATCAGATTTAGTTGAGAAGGATGCAGCTAAGCCCGGCGTCACTTATTGCGTCTCATCCGCGCTAGATACACACGGTAATGCTGCATATTTTGAAAACACAATGAGTTGTTTGTGAACGGCAGTGGTGCTTTCTGCCTCAGTGCTAACCAGAGTATAATGACGCGACTGAGTGAATGGCGCGGACATTGGCACTCGGAATCACCTTGGGTTGACCTCAGCTATTATTCATGCGCTTAAAATGACACTGGTGCTTCGGTCACGAGGGGTGCGTTTTGCGCCGGTGCATTTAACAGCGCAATTCCATGTGACCCAATGGTTCGTTGTTGACTGCATGCATCTTAACGACGCCCAGAAGCCAGTTTATCAGATTGTGCCAAGCGCCTATTGCATTATGCACAAGTGGAGGATGTTATTAGCTGTGTCCTCATCAAGACTGACGTCCTTGATCCCAATGGGGCAAATGGTTGAGGTCACGTGTCAGGTCATCACCAACAGTCCTTATCCCGAATGTGTAGAGTAGCTGTCAAAGTGCCAAGTCATGTCAGGTCAGGAGCCAACTGTCTCGATCTCCAGTGTGGTTGGAACGCTGAGATCTTTAGCGAGGACTCGGGGTCGACCGTCGAACGTCCTGTGGTCCCTCTGCATAAAAGTTTGGGCTGCCATCAGTCCCTGCCCAATGGCCGAGCTGCACCCTGCAACGGCTGTGACGTGACCTGGCGACGTAACTTGACTTGTGTGACGGGGTTTGTGACGTGACCTGTGTGGCGTGGCTTGTATCATGTCTAACGTGACGTGACATTTACTAGCCCGGTGAGGTGTGTATTATGTGATAGCGACTGACGCTCCCTCCCTCTCTGCCTCCACAGGTACTGCCACACGTTCTGGTCAACTGGGCCATGCAGATCGCCACCGGGATGAACTACCTGCATCACGAGGGGCCCATATCACTCATCCACCGCGACCTGAAGTCCTCCAACGGTCAGTATTATCAGTCCAATGGTGGATAAGAGAGGGGCCAATCCTATAGAATAGAGTTCAATGGGCCCATATCACTCATCCACCGCGACCTGAAGTCGTCTAACGGTCATTAGACCGGCCAAACAGTCCTTGGGCTGTGCTTGTCCACCAGTGGGCTGTTGTGAGCAGACGGATCGGACGAGAGGAGGGTGGGAAGAGGACAGAGGAACACTTCGGAAGTAGGCCGTGACGGGCTATCCACTTCTATGAGGGTCCTCGTGAGGGTTGAGTAGGATCTCCGGGGAATATCTGGTCGATTGAATGTAGTGCTTTTCGTGGAGGTCGCTTAGATTATTCTAACGGGGTCGCACCTCCGTCTGCTGCCCGTGTTTTAGCTGCTCTTGTTTGTCATGTTATGCCTAAATGGTGATGAGTAGCAAATATTCAACGATCATTGAACCACGAAACATATAGACGCAATGCAATGGGAGAGCTGGGCTTACTCTGGTACTCGTGTGACCCATGGCAATTAGCTGTCCTAGTTGCATGGTGTATCGACTAAACCAGCCCACATTGCGGCTTGTCGTGTCACAGTGCATATCCGATAGAGACGCAGGACTTCTGTGTTTCTATAATATCGGATATATGGTAACCGATTCGTGACTCTTCCCTCCCACAGTGCTCATCTCTGAGCGCCTCGACTCACCGGAGGATTTTCGCCGCGTCACTCTGAAAATCACCGACTTCGGACTGGCGCGGGAGATCAACCGCACGACCCGCATGACGCAGGCGGGCACCTACGCCTGGATGGCGCCCGAGGCCATCGAGTTCAGCACCTTCTCCAAGGCCGGAGACGTGTGGAGCTTCGGCGTGGTGCTGTGGGAGCTGCTGACCGGCGAGACGCCCTACCGCGGCATTGACGCGCTGGCCGTGGCGTACGGCGTGGCCTCACACAAGCTGAGCCTACCGGTGCCGTCCACCTGTCCGGCCGGCTGGCGGGAACTGATGCTCTGTGAGTAGTGCGACGCGACAGCGGGCACTTGGGCGCTAGTTAGCATATTAATAGGTGGCTCTGGATGCTAGTCTGGTCATCACGAAGATGTTGGGCGTGGACAAAAGGGCAAAAATTTGCTAAAATACTTCGTTTTTTTTTGGGGGGGGGCTTTTTCTAACCGTTGTTCTGATTAGTCACTGCAATCGGAATGCTACCCGCCTGTTCTCCACTTTGACCGTCGCTATGTTGTGACCGGCCTGAACTTTACTGAAGTGCACCGATCCTCTTCACTGCTATTGCACCACTGTTGCTCTCAGCACACTGACCCATCATCACCCCACCAGCAAAACACCGACACTGCTCCCACGTCCACAGCGTGCTGGAGCCTGGACCAGCACCTGCGTCCGACGTTCGAGCAGCTGCTGGTCAAGCTGCAGGACATCTCCCGGTCGGCGTTCATGTCCTTCCCGCGGGAGAGCTTCTACAACATGCAGGAGAACTGGAAGACCGAGATCGACGAGGTCCTCCGCGACATCCGACATCGGGAAAAGGTAAAAGCGGTGTAGTGTCGATGCTTTAACTGGCCATGTTCGCTATTTTGTAGTGTCATTGCTTAGTTCGAAGTGGTTGGAAAGGGGACTACGTGCGGGCTGGGTAGATGGAGCCACATTACACTGGCTGTTCTGCTGCTGTGTGAGCGGCCGAATCTCTTGGACTGACGTAAACTTGTGTATCAGGGCACAACCTAACTTACTGAGGCTGTCTATGATCTGACGTTTTCGAGCGGAGCCCTTTCGTGTGTCAGGATGATGGAGGCGACATTTCCTCGCTGAACATTTGGAATAACATGATCAATCTTTACCTTTAGGATAGAAACCTCCCCTGACGCTGACCTGCCTTTACCCGCTGTGTCCGTCAGGAGCTGCGCAGTCGGGAGGTGGACCTGAGGCGGCGGGAACAGGAGGTGGCTGAACGGGAGCTGGATGTACTCACCCGAGAGATCCAGGTCATCGTCCAGCAGCAACAGCAGCAGCAGGTAGGTCTCGGCGCCGTCGTTCCTGTAAAGTGCTTTCTGATGCCCATGCCAGCGACGCTGCCGTAGAGCCTTCGTGAGTTAGTGTGGTTTCATGATCTGCGAAATCTTGAAATGGACAGACATTGGCATTTGTCATTTCAGACAAATGCCAATGTGGGTAGTCGTTTGTCCGCAGAGCTATCGCCATTCGGTAGCAACAGCCATCATGTGTAGGTCCCTACTACTCTGTCACCCTTGACCCTACCCTAACTTTGAGTCAACTTTGTGGTCAAATCTGCCTCTTCTTGCGTGTCTGTAGTGCTGCGCGCCCTGACCTCCGCTGTGAAGACGCAACTATGCGTGTTTAGTACCTCCGCCTAGTCTGACCCTCCTGTCTTTCCTACAGACGGCGCCGACGCCCAAACGGACCAAGATGTTTGGGAAGAGGGCGAAGCTGAAAGGCCGTCACCAGATCAGCAATCCGTCTGGTGAGACTTGACGCGAGCAGGGACGGGGGCACGGGATGGATACGGGACATGGTTTGTGACATTTTGCACAGAACACGAGTACCTAATGAAGGCCTTTATCGAACGTTAACAGTTTCTGTCTGGGGCTGTTCTGCTGGCACGCTTTACACTTTATCGATCAGTGAATACTGGATACTTAGAGCAAAAGCAATGTCGATGAGAATCAGAAACTTGTGAAGTTAGCATGGAAGCGATGTACGTAATTCAGATTCGACAGAAATTAGATCATAATGAAAATCGTCTTTGAAAATTATGTTGCTTATGCCAACGTCGTGCCCATCAACTTCTGTTTGTCTGAACCCTGTGTCCCTCTGTGTTGCAGACTTCCGACACAACTTTACGGTACAAAACACGGGCGCGCTGTCGGAGCGGCTGGCCGGCGGCAGCGCGTGGCACCCGACCAGCCCGGAGAGTCCGCCGGCGTCACCGTCACCCGCCCTGCGAGCCATTGCACGTGAGTGTGCGCCGGCGGGGTGGTACCAGCGGTAGGGGGCGGGTACTGATAGAACGATAGAGTAGGATGCGTTTACCAGTGGTGTGAGTAATTGTGATTGTATGACTCTTCACTCGTCAGCCATGCTGGGTGATTTTCCTATATGTTACACACTTTTATTTATTGTCGGAATGCGTTGAATGCGAGCAGTAACTCGCTCACCTGGCAGAATGATTGTGTGTGTACAATTTTCGGCAATCGTCTGTCATTGTGGCTCATGTATGTTATCCATGCGCGAACATCCGTCGTACGTTCGTCTTACTGGTCCGTTTGTCCGTGTCTGTTCTCTGACGTCCTGTGTGTCGTGTCGGCAGTGCCGGCGGACGGCGTCAAGGGCAAGACGTGGGGCCCGAGCTCAGCGCACCAGATGAACCGGCGACCTCGGCCGCGGCCTCAGCTACTGGAGCCGGGCAGTCCCAGTACTGCCGATAGCTCGCGCCGCGCCGACCGCAACGGTCAGTCCCGCAACTCGGGGAGGCCGCGGGGAGGGCGGGGGTGTAACTGAACTGACCTGGGCACTGATCTGTGACCGAACTAACATATGACATGACCTGGCGTGGGCTTACCTCTAACATCATTGTTGCACCGACGTGATAGTTGACATTAGCGAATATTAGTGTTAAGTCGAAAGGCAGCGTCTCCGTTTGGTAGGCGTATTGGAGCTTCCACAAGCAGCAGCGGCAGCAGCAGCAGCACAGCAGCACCCGCGCGTGGCGGCTCCCCGGCTCCGAATGACCGCCGCCCCCGGCTGCGGCCGTGACCCCGCGCCGCCGGTCGCAGCGGCGCGCTCAGAGGGAGGCGGCCCGCAGAGGCGCGTCCAACAGCGCGCCGAGGGGAGGCAACGGGCACACGATCCACTAACACTTCCTAACATTAGTAAGCCGACGTCATCTGACTATGTGAGGCTGGCTCCTACCTAGTTTTTTTTTTTTTTTAGTTCATTTTGTTCTGCAATCCGAGAAAACGCAGTTACCCTATTGACAAGAAAAATAAGCACATCTTTGTAATCTTAAGCGCAGATTGGGACCATGCTTACTACATCTACATTTTTAGACATGAGAGAGAGATACGGTTTGTTGAAGTGCAAAACACTATACGGCTTCGAACACCTGTAAGTCATGACTACGCCTGCGGAGGCCCTTTTCTTAGCTGTGCTTGAGAAAGTTTTTATGCCCATGGCATGGTCCTGCTAGGGAAAATGCGGGTTAGCGCTAGTTTCTCAGGTACTGCACGGTTACGGCGAGTGTTTACTCTTTGTGTCGACTCGGTCCAGCGGTAATCCCGGTCTGCTCCCAGTGCCGCCTAGTGTTCAGTGCCCAAGTGACAGTGTCGGACCGGCCGACAGATGTCTCTGTCTATCCACATCCCATTACGCTGCGTTCAGTGAAGGATGACGAGGCACGCCGTGGGAGTGTCGGGCACGGCCCGCCTGGTTTCCGGCGCCGGCGGTGATTAGGCTGGGAGCCGCGCTACTTTCCCCGGGGAAATGTCACAGAACGGCGCCGGCGCGCGCTCGGCGAGGGCAGCTCGGGTTTCGGGGCTTATCGGGCTGGCGCCGGGGCTGTGGCCGGGCCGTGTCTGCAGAGCAGCTGCGCCGCGTGCCTCCCCGCTCCGGGAGCGTCCGGATGGGTGCAGACGAGGCCTCGGCAGGGCGTCAATGTAAACATACCGTGCCCGGCCGGCCGCCTGGGGACCTGGGGACGGCTGCCGCGCCCTCCTGGCCGCCGCACGGGGGCCCCAGCGCCGAGCTGGAGCGCGGGGGCGGTCCGTTTCCTCGAGAGTGCCTGGTGAGGCTCATAGTAACCAGATGGGCCCGGCAGGGCTGAGATTTAGCTGTTATGTTCCTGACGAGTTGTAGTATTTGTTGAGATTTGGTACTGCGAAGCCTGGCGGAAGTTGATGAGTGGGTTATTGGGCAATCTTGAGGTCAATGGCCTCAAGATGTCAACAATTGCTTGGCTCTGCGATGAGTTTATGTTAAATTGGGCCCGCCTTCAAATTAATCTCTATACAGAAGGATGAGGCTCGAACTGCATCTAAGGTATTCGATTAGCGTATTTGTCGCGAGCTCCCAATGAAACATCAAGCTGTCTCCATGTCATAGATTGCTTCTCTTTGTCATCGCCTCTGAGTGACAAATTAGGACAAATCACTAAGAAATTTTGTTAATTGTCTTCTCTGGATTATCCTCAGGCTATCAATGAAATGGGAGCAATGGCGATTCGTTAACGAGCTTCGTATATTTGCACGACATTGCTACAGTTATTAGGGTCATTTCCATTGGCCATTTCGACGCAATGCTGAGGAAACAACTGATCTATAATAGCTATATAGCTGATCTAATATAGCTATTAGCTGATAGCTTAGGTTTCCTGTTGTGGCTGTTAACTTCCTTTGTTGGACTTATGAAGCTGGTAAGCATTTCATGAGTTCTGCGTCTTCCGTGTTATCTTGGTGCCTGCCTACGACCGAAAGTGTAGACAATACTGAAAACTTCTGCGTTGCCACTTTACTACCCCAACCAAATTTATACTTTATGCGCAAATTACATATTGCACGCAGCATAAAACTCAAATGTCATTAAACTTCCAACACAGTCGTTCATACGTAAGTCCGCCTCGCTGCCCGGGCCTGGCCTTTCGTTACCATTGGCTGTCAGCAGCTGCGGCCTATGCGACCTTCCCACCCACCCCACAAAGTGCCGCAACGAGCCCGCCCTCTCCCTCTCCTCCCTCCCCCTCCCAGCGCGGGCGTGAAACGACCGCACAACTGCGCGGCCGGCTGTTGGTTGACGACTGGTTTCCGGCTGTCGCGTGACTGGGTTCGCTCACTGCCCCGTGTCACGTGACTGTGTGCTCGCTCACTGCCCCGGGTCACGTGATGCCACCGATGATGATGATGATTTGGAGTGACAGGGCGCACCAGCTGCGAGGCTATATCGCGCCCATTTCTTATTTGACTTCCTCAATGTCGGGCATTAAAAATCACCTGAAGGCCGGAGGCCGCAATAAACGAAAAGAGACGAGAAGAGTCTAGCAAAGAGGACTCGTCACCTAAGACTGCTCTCAAAGAAAGCTGGGCTCCGCGCAGGCCCAGAAACTTCAGCCGCTCAGCTTCCATGATGATGATGATTTGGAGTGACAGGGCGCACCAGCTGCGAGGCTATATCGCGCCCATTTCTTATTTGACTTCCTCAGTGTCGGGCGTTAACCGACTGCGGGCACGCACTGTGCCGCGAGTTAGCGGTGGAGCTGATGAGCCGGTTACGGCGGGGATGAGGGCTGCAAACGGCTAGCGCTCTCTGGTCACTCAGCGCGGTGGGCTGTTGTAAGGCGGACGGCTGTTATGGGCTCGCCAACAAGAGCAGATGCTCTTGTAAACGAGGAGGTCGTATTTGAGCTTATCAACTAGAGAAGATGCACCTTTTGTCCAACGTTGAAGGGGTGAATGGACCTTGCGGCAGTGAACTGGAGGTCATTCTTGTTTACGTTTTCGGTGGAGGCACCGCGATGCTGCGCTCAGTACGCGGGGCGTGTCCTGTCCCTGACATTTTCAGCAATGTATCAGTAGCTGTAATATTGTGGCCACAAATGTGTGAAAATTCACAGCTTGTCATCAAGCTGTAGGTGCCGTCTGCGCCGCACGGCCGTTTGACACCATTGTCGGGGGAAGAAAGACCGGGAGAGGGGAGAGGTATGCTACCCACTGGTGATACGATTGGCCCGGTCCGGCTTGGTGGTGCTTTCGGTACCCTCAGTCACATTTCGCCGATACCTACCGAATACATAAGTTTACATGTTTGGACTGCCGAGCTGACGGTACCGCTAGGTGCATGAAACACGAATAATTCGGCTTGTTAAGGAAAATGAACCAACTGCATTTACATAAGAAGGCTTATCATTCTCATATTCTTCACCTGCGCATTCATCTTGCAATCCATTGTTACATTCGTCGTTCATGCTGAGTTGATCTTCCTGATAGTCCTATTGACTCCGACTATCATCAGTAAATACCGTGTAACGGTCACGCCACCGCCACTATTTGCCGTCTCCACGGTGCAGTCGGAACAACGCAGACTCGTTATCGCTCGAACCCGACATCTTGGCGGCAGGCTCTGTGTATTCGGTCCTCTGGTGATTGAGATGGGGTCAACATTCGGCTATCTTATATCTACTGTACGGCTGACTCCGTAAGAAGTCTCAAACATGCTCCTGAAGTGTTCTAAGCTCGTGGTGCGACACCGTGTTGGTGGGTTCGTATTCCAGATCCGACCAGTTACAGTTAGGCGAGATAGCGGTTTCAACGCTCCTGTGTGGATTTACATGAACAAGTAGCCCGTTTTGTGTCCTAATGAGGCTCTGCCTTTACGTCGATCTCCTGACTAGATTGTCCCGTTGATATGGCTTTCTGCCGGTTTGCGCTGGCCTCTGGACACTCGTCCGACGGGTGCGGAGGTCACATGCGAGCTGCACTGCACGACCCAAGAATTGGCCGTAAGTCCGGCAAGCTTTCATGGTGGGCCCATGAATCCTAGCTGAGCGGCTCCGCTCTAGACCGGACTCATGGCCGGTGGCTGGGCTCACTGCCGCCTCTGTCAACCGCTGACATCCGCATGACGTGCGACTCGCTGCCAACTACGACCCGGTAGCGTGTGGTGAGGCTGTCAGCGTGGGGAGGAGACGGGGCGCCCTGGCACCTTCTGTAGTCTGGCCCAGTCGCAGTGACCCAGAGCTGACCTGTTGGCAGACCGACGGCCGATGTATTTTTAGGCGGACACGGCTGGGCTGGGAGCGACTGCCACTGCGCGGCCAGCGCGGCCGGGCCGGTCGGACCGACCTCTGACTCAGCCAGTGACTCAGAGGCCGTGCACTCGGAGTGCCGGCCGGGGTCGGAGGCCGGTCGGTGGACGTGGAATGTTCCGCGTGCCGCGAGATGTGCGCTCGCGATAGTGGGCGTGGTGTCACGTTGCCGCCCGCGGTACGGGAGCGACTCACGAGACAGCTGGGCCGGGGAGGGGGCTCTGAGAAAAGTCCAGCCGCCTACCCAGTCCAGTTCGTCCAATCCAGTTCAATTCACAAACAATGGTCTCGGGTCACTACAGACCTACCCAGGCCCTTGGTGACGGTTCCCCTTTGTTGTGGTTTTGCATTCATTGTTGTGACACTGCTTGCCAAGAAAACTCGCACGTGGCAAGGTAGCGGTAACGGGAGTTGTTATTGGGCCAGTACCGATAGTGATTCATGCGAGGCTCCTCCAAGGGACAGTGGGTTCCGTATTGTTCCTTTTGTTTTGTGGATGAGGAAATAGCGGTACTTGTATCCTGGTTGAATGTCTTCAAACGATGAAAATATTGAATAGTTGAAAAGCAATGCGTATATTGACGCAAAACCAACGCACATTTTTGTCTTTCCTTTGAAAGCCACTAATGACAAATTTTATCTTAACAGTTCATAATTCATTTGTGATTAATTATGATAGTTGAGTCGGTGTTATCGTGTAATCGAGATAAGATTAGGTAACCGAACGTGGATCCGTTTGTCACGAGCATGCTGTGCAGTGAGCACGCTCCATTCACACTCGGGCTGCAGAGTTTTACGTCTGTGTCGCCGCCTGCAGTGCCCGTAGTACTATGTGGTATGCGGCCAGGCAAAACTGAAATGTTGGTCAGCTCACGTGTCCGGGGAGGCAGTCCGGGGTCCGGTTTTCGGCGGGGAAGGAAAACGGTAATGAGGGGTGACTCAGCGGCTCACTCAATACAGCCATGTCATTCAGACCTCCCGCTGATGTTGTTTGGACAACAGTCTCTGTGAGCTAGGAGACAACGCTCGGCTCCGAGCTTTGGGCGCTGAGCTGCGATGTTGTCATGGCTGTTGGTGGGAGAGTGGAGACGGCTGTGCTGTCCCAACCTTTTCAATATAACTGGGCCTGACGCCTGTGGCCGGCGGAACAAACTTAGCCTGTTGTGGGCTGTGGGCATTCGCGCAAATATTTAAGTGTGGTGACTAGCGTGCCACTGTTGCACCCAGGTTCGTTTGTCTCTCCTTTTCTTCCAAGTACGTTAGCCTTCGCTATTTTCCAAAGTCCAACTAAACTTTTCTTCACCGTATTCTTCAACGGGTTTATTGTCTCTCCCGTCCACTCCAGCCCTTTCAGTGGCGGATAGTTACCACGGCAGTTTCTGTGTCCGCCCGTCCGCCGCTGTCGTTTCGCAATGTCCCGCCAGGCCAGTCGACTCTGTCGGGCTCGTTCCGACCAATGTGTGCTGCCCGTCATCTGATTGCCCACCAAGGCTGTGCGCCCGGCAGTGTCCGCGCAAACGCTCCGCCTGGCTGGGTCCCCGCCCCATTGCTCACGCTCGCACGCACTCTGAACTTCAGACGCGTGGTGAAGCAAGGCACAGACGTTAGAACCCACACACTAAGCAAATCTTCAGGAATTTTAGGGCTCAAGCTGATGATCTCGAAAAACTTTGCGTTATGTGAGGACAGATTTGAATAATAATAATAATAATATAAGAACAACCAGTAGCCTCATAATATAAATCAGAAATTGGAGCCAAAAAGTTACATTTAAAATTATCGAATATTTCGCTCCTGGAGCTTCGTCAGCGATAATTACAGAAAAACATATGAAACAGGTTTGAATAAACTTCTACAACTACGTCATACACAAAAAGCCCTCATACACAATGTCACTTATAATGTCACTAATGTCCCTAAGTGAAGTGATTATTTGTTGTGCTCCTTCCCTTTTGATTGCTGTGCTGACTGGACGGGTACCGGTGACTCTGGGGAGGCCCAGTGGGCGGGGAGTGGCGCCGGGCTGCAGCGGCCGTCGGGCCATTCCGCCGCCCTGCTGCTGACCAACTGTGTCGCCGCTCGCCAGAAATAACAAACAGAGCCGTTTGGAACGGGGCCGGCTGCGCTCCGTCTGGGTCGGAGGAGGTGACGGACGGGGCGGGGCGGGGACGCTCGGGAATGTTGACAGACGGGACGGGGAGATGACGGGTGGGTTGGAGATGACGGACGATATGGGTTGGTGACGAACGGCGTGGTTAGGTGACAGACGGGATGACAGACTGAGTGGGTAGGTATCTGACGGACCGGTGAGATGACTAACTCCCCTGAAAGGTGACTGGCTGGGTCGGTAACTGACACATTGATTAGGCCTCCGACGGGGTGCGGGCCGCGCTCTAACGCCGGCCCCTCTGTTTTCCAGCTCTGCCGTCCGACTCAGACGACTCCAGCGACGACAGCGTCATTCTGCGACATCCTCCCCCCAGGACGCACTAGCCCGTCCTGTTCCCTCCCCTCGCCGCGTCCCGGTGCCGGGCTGTCCCCCGGACTTCCCCAGATTTATCCGTATTTATGCCTCCCCTCCGACCCTCGCGTCCCTCTCGTCGCTCCCGTCCCGTCGCGGCTTCTGGTCGCCGCGCGCCGCGCGCTCGGCCACGGTGGCGGATTCGGGCGCCTGCCCCAGTCTTCCGGTCTTCTTCCGTGTCGCAGTGGTGTCAGAGGCCTCGGGAGCCTGCCGCGCGTGTCACGTCGACCGCAGTGCGGCTGTGGTCAGTGGAACGGAACCGACGGAACCGCGGTGGCGCCTCTGAGACGAGGCACCCGCGCGACTCAGGATGGGCGCACTTCCTGGACGGACCGGCGGTTTCTGGCCTATCAGACTTCCCGGCGGTGGCTGTCGACTCTGTGAGGCGCCGGGG